ACACACACACACACACACCAGCAGTACGTCCTGCACAGCGGGAGGGGAGGTGCTGTATGCTTTTATTATTTTCTGTCAGGCTGTCGCGGAGCTCTCCTCCTCCTCTGTCCGGTGCTGGTGTGGTGTGAGCTCAAGGTCCTGATCGGAGCCAACATGAGTCAGTCCCAGACTGAGCAGACTTGATCAAGTCTCTCTCTCTGCCTCTGGTGAGGAGTGGGGTGAAAAATCCTCCACCTCAGACCGTTCAGAGATGTAACTAACTGCATCGCTGTGGTCACTCTCCATGTAGCATCAATTATGCTAATGCTAGCTGTTGCGATCTCTCGTCCTGGCCACACCTCCGCTCTCTAACCCCCCTCCCCTACCCACTTTGATGCATTTTTCAAATTTCACCTTGGGTCGGAGTTATCTTTTCACAGGGGGGGTAAGATACACTTTAAATCAATTCAATTTAAAAAAGACAAAACTTGATAAATACCGTTGCAAGAGCAGCTGACGAAAGTTGCCACTTTGTGAGCTGAAGGCGAGGTGAAGGGAAAGGTAGTTACAAAGCCTGGCTCCGGTGTACGAGAAGTTGGGAATAGCAGTGGACTGTGATAAAGACAGAAATATTTCAGCCCATGTTCAAGAGATGTGCTGCGTTCAGACAGGTCGGAAACTCCCAAAACAAAGACTAAAGCTCTCAGCACCTGCGTGAAGACCAGTTCCACCAGCTCAGTCAACAGCTCTTCAGTAGTGACCCAGGCGTTGAGCGTGCCAGTTATGTAGTCTATATCTGACTCAAAGGAGCCCGGGGAGGAGCTCAGGTAACCGAGAAACTCTGAGACCGCATCCGCCAATGATGCCTCGCTTTGATACTGTTCACCATCGTCATAATAAGCGGGATCCTATTGAAACAAACCAAAAAAAGAAATACAAACACGAAAAACTAAATTGTGAACATACACTACGGAGTAACATATCCCAAAACATTAAAAACTTGGGACTATTCATACTGCAGGTCTTAATGCTCAAATTCAAAACAAAAGAGCTCAGATGTGACGACATCCACTTACTTCATATGAGATCATTCCCAAGGGGACAAACTCCGGAGCGTTGGCTGAAAGATTTGATGACTCGACCAAGGAATCCACGTTGTTGCTCCGGCTGGAGCCTGATGCATAGTGTGATGTGGTGCTTTGCTGGGGGTTACCTAAATTGTGTSAAAACAGAATAACTAATTTAATCTGTGTCAGCTAATCAGTTTCACCAAACCTAATTATTAGGAGCAARCACTTTATTTATTTGTGAAACATTTAGAATTTCTGGCTAACTATATTCAAAGTGTAGTAATAATTTATTGCTGACCCTGGTGTGTTAATGTGAAAACTTTAAACACTTTAGAGTTGGAAACATCTTAACTAAATTAATAGGCAATCATTGTTCAAAGGAAAAGGTTGACCTGGAAGATATCTTTAAAAATCAAAAGCAAATCTGTCTGTTCTGATGCTAAATATAAAAAAGAGGGRCGGAACAGACACTTTACTGTTATTATTTCTGCAAACTGTCTTTAGTATTTAGAGAAAACTGATCAACTCTGCATTGCTAGCTACAGATTACATGATGCTTGCTCCACAAATAAGTTTCACCTTGTTAAGTAACCTTGCTCTTGACATTTCTTGGCAAGAAAGCAGGTTTTTTTTTTTTTTAGCTGCAGCATTAGCTCACAAGCACTAAAACAAGTGCACGATAACGCCACTCAAAGATTACTAGCACCATTACYGGCATTAACTGGTTAAGTGACCTCCAACACTTAATATTAGAGTGAACTGAAGCAAATGATCACTTTTTGAACTACAACGATATACATTTGGCCTTCTGTCAACAAGCGACATGACAAGAATCGAATCTGAAAGTAGCTAGCTGCTTTTAGCTCCGTTAGCTTCCTACCTGCACCGATCAGGACGCCGCTCGCGCCGCTGGCGGTGTTGCCCTCGCCAAAAGGCGGAGTTGTTCGCGGCTGCCTTAGCGGCTCCCTTTGGTTGAACAGCGTGCTTTTGGTGTCACTGTCACCRGCGCTACCTACCGCGAACCCGGGGACTGCTGGAAGAACACTGCGTGTTCTCCCAGCTCCCGGAGCTCGGTCRAAATTGTCGTTCATTGCTGCTGGTCTGAGACGGATGAAGACGTACTTTTTCCCGCAAACAATTTCTTTTCTCTGGATTTTCGGCAAGAGTTTTGTTGTGCTATCACAGACAAACACGCMCTATCTCTCTTCCATAGTGGCCTTTTCCCGATCGGCTGAGATAAACGTACATTATGCTAGCTACACAACTTTTAGGCTACTTCCTTTGACAACAAACCATTTGCCACTGAAAATCAAAGCGTCTCCCTCTGGTGGTCAGGAGTGGTAAGTGTTAACTATTGAAACATTTAAATCTTAAACCACTTTATAAAACATATAAAACACCTTTTRCTTCATTTTTAAAACATTTGAGCAGCATTTTGATTTTTATAGTAATTTCAACTTGTGTTTTCTATTTTATATGCTGTTGAAGTTCACCAGTGATGCATTAAAGCTGCTGTATGTAGTTTCTTGGGWACCCAAAAACTTAGAAAAATTTTGAACAGAAACAACCTTGTAGTCCCTCCCCCTGCTCTCAGCTCCCCTTCCTAGGCTCCTCCCCCACAGCACTATAGAAAGATCTTTCTTTAAAAAAAATAAAAAATCTTTCTATAGGGCTCTGGGA